GTAATGAAACAAGTTATATGAATTGTTGAATGTGAAACTGATGATGTGCCCTGTAAACTTTCACTCAATCCACAATAAAAACCTTAAATTAAAAAATAGGTTTATGGCTGGTTAGGTCTGAGAGCCAGGGGAGTCCTCAGGGCATAGAGAATAATAGCTAATGAGTATGGGGTTCTTTTAGAAGTAATAAAAAGTGTTCTAATGTGATTATGGTTGTACATATTTGTGAATATACTAAACACCATGGAATTATGTGCTTTAAATGGGTAAATGGTATGATGAGTTATATCTTTAAAAAAAAAAAAAAAACAATAACAAAAACTAAACCCATGGCCATTGAATCAAGTCTGACTCTGTGTTACAGAGCAAGATTGCAGTCTATAGGGTTTCACAGCTCTCATCTTCACAGAGATGGATTGCTAGGGTTTTCTTTCGTGGCACTGCTGGTCGATCCAAACTGCCAACTTTCTGGTTGACAATCAATGACAAATCACTAATGCTACTTGAGGGCTTACATATCTCTATAAGGTCTTTGTAAATAAATAAATTATATCAAATTCCCACCTTGTGTTTGGAAAATTCCTAAAGCCACAACTAACCAGACTTTTTTGGTGTGCACCATCCCTCTAAGCTCTGGTTGCGTAGTGGTTACGAATCAGGCTGTGAACCTTAAGGTCAGTGGTTCGAAACTACCAGCCGCTCCGCGGGAGAAAGATGAGGGTTTCTACTCCCGTAAAGATTTACACCCTGGGAAACCCTGTACAGGGTCGCTACAGGTCGCAACCGACTCAATGGCACTTAATAACAACAATCCCTCTACACACATCAATTTTTGAGATACCTCAATATAGATAATATGTACCCCTTAAACCGGAAAGAATTTAATTTCTTTTTGGTGATGCAAGATCACCATTAAGAACACAACCTGATTCCGACCTATAGTGACTCTGTTTCCGAGAAGCGAGTGGTAAGCTTGAACTGCCTACCTTGAGGTTCACACTGACATTGCAGTCCAGCACATTAACAACAGAATTGTTTATAATACTGTAGGTAGGATAAGCACTGAGTTGCTAATCACAAGGTCAACAGTTCAAACCCACCAGCTAACTTCTTGGAAACCCTACACAGGGTCGCTATGAGTTGGAACTGACTCCGTGGCACTTACCAACAATAACAGAGGAAGAAAGAAACCCTTCTCAGAAAGGGCCACAGGGAACCGAAAGGAGGAAGATGAGGAGCCTGTGAAATGGCCTGTTGCTTCTGACAGTCACCAAGCAAGGGATAAATGAGATTTAGGCTTCAGGACCTAGAGAATCCCAGAACTCTTTGTGGATTAATGATCCCAGGGATAGCAAAAACATCTCCTCTTATGAACCAACTGTGATGGAAATACTACTGAGGGATTATGTTAAGGAGAACTCTGAGGCTGCATTTAAACTCCAAAGGAAAGATTCCAATAATGGATAAGGGTTTTTCGTGCTGATACAGCTCCCTCAAATATGGTGAGTATTCCTAAAACCCACAGTATGTTTTGAAACAAATCCAACCCCACAAGTAACCGAGTCTGAGGAGGACAAGGACTCTCTGTACACTAGAGAGAGAGGCATGATGACAAAGTGCATATGGTGGACAAATGAACCTGATTGTCTGGAAGAAGGCTAAAACTACAAAGAAGCTTGAATTGAGGTTTGAATATTTTGAGCTCAACTTTAGATTTAAGAGAATTCTGGCTATTGAGAGATAAAAGCATTTTGAGCTGGGAGGAGATAAGAAAAGAAAGGACCAAGTGAGCCACTTCTAAGCTTCATGTTTTGTTATGAGGACAATCAAATCTTTCAGCTGTGTTCATACCCTGGATTAGAAAGAAAATTAGGGATACATGTCATGAGTATGGGAGGGGTACCACAACTGTGGTACGGGACTTGATCAAGTTTTCTCTTCTTATTATAATCAAGCTCAGTAAAGCAAAGGTTATTTTAACACCTACTATCAGCATTCCCCTTGGAGTCCTGGTGTGGGGCTGAGGGTTAATACAGTGGACTGCAAGGGCAGTTTGAACCACAAGGTCAATAGTTTAAGCATCCCAGCCATTCCTCGGAAACCCTATACAGGGTCTCTGAGTCGGAACTGACTCAACGGTACTTCACAACCACAACAATATCAGTGTTCCTCTTAAGGAGGACATGTTTTTGTTTAGAAAATAACCACTAACAAAAGTTAGGCAGGCTGGGGCGGTAGAGGGAAGTGCCTGAGGGGGACGTAGTCTAGATATAATCATAGTCTATAAGACAGGAAAAATGTATTTCTACTATGTGGTATATGTGGAATAAACAGGATCCTGGGGTGGAGAGATGAGAGAGGAAAGGAGAGAAAAGGGAGAGTCGGGTTGTACAATCTGAGCAGCTGGAGAAGAATGGTGAATGGCCACAGGCCCTTAAAGAATTTACGCTGTTGTTGTTGTTGTTGTAAAGTGCCGTTGAGTCGGTTCCGACCCATAGCGACCCTGAAAAGGGTTTCTGAGGCTGTAAATCTTTATGGGAGCAGAATGCCTCATCTTTCTCCTGCGGAACAGCTGGTAGTTTTGAACTGCTGACCTTGCGGTTCACAGCCCAATTCGTAAATAAGTATCTACAATTCTGTAGTAGTTATGAATCGTAGTGGTTATGAATTGGGCTGTGAACCACAAGGTCAGCAGTTTGAAACTACTAGCTGTTCCACGGGAGAAATATGAGGTTTTCTGCTCCTGTAAAGATTTACAACTTCAGAAACCCAGTTCAGGGTTGCTATGGGTCGGAACTGACTCAACGGCACTTAACAAACAATTCTGTGATGTTAATTGCTGCAGATACCCTATCCCTATGCAGTTTTTACTAGGAGTGTGTATCTACCAAGATATGGTAGAATTCTGAGGAGGGCATTGATTTCCCATAGATGTGAGACAGAGGGTAAGTCAATTTGATCCAAATCTCCAACACAGACTGACTGATAGGGAGGTTGCATGTAGTCAGGGAAAGGGAGACCCAGAAAGGGAAGGAAATTGCCCAAGGTCACACAGCAAAGGTGAGGCATGCCCTAAGTGTCCTGAACCCTGGTGAAAGCATTCCTCAGCTGGCTGTGGGGCTGTACAGATGGGAGCTGATTGGTGGTACCTGTATGTGTCATTGATGATGACAAAATCAAACTCGGGTTGGTGGCTAGAGAAGGGTCCCAGGTAGGTCCAGTTAAAGTCTTTCGGAGCCGGGTAAGCCTCCACCTTGACTTTGAGCTTGAGCTTCTCACCCAAGCTCACCTCCTGAAGGAGGTTCTGCTCAGAGGTTAAGTTCAAGTAGGCACTCTCTGAAAGGCAGAACACATGGAGAAATGGTGTTAAGCGAAATCATCCCATTTTGCCATTTGGTCATCCACCCAACACCTAGGTCATCTACCCGAACACCTCCTATATCCTGGGCACAGTCCTGACCCGCAATCACAACTTGTTCTCTGACATCTCTTGTTCCACCACCCATTCCAGCAGCCCAAGACTCAAAACTATTACCTCACCAAGTCCCTGGGAGAACTTCTACACCCCTTCGATGTGGGCAAATTCCTATCCTTCTTTGAGTCTCTGTCTTCTCTTAGCATAATGAAGAGATCGAATATATCTGTGATATTTAATTTTTGAAAAACTTTTAATTAGTTAAAAAGAAAAACATCTGTTGGTTTTTACATGCCCTTGGCCATCCTCCCTTATTCTGGTAAGAGTTCAGCCAATCAGGGTAATCTGTCCCTTCTAGACCAGGGATTGATTCAAGGAAAGCTCCTACGTCCATGAGTCCAATGAGATTCAATTGTAAGAACTTTTGTTGGAACTCTGGGACAAGAGAAATCCTCGCTCCACTGGGGTTGCCAAGCCTGTTGCTACTAGGGGTCTTGCTGCCACCAGGGGAAAGTCTTCTTGAAAGCTAGTCCAAAAAGAGAATCTATAGCTTCTCTTTTGTTGTTTCTGAACATTTTATTGTGATATGGGTGCAAGCTCACCAAGCAAATTAATTTCCCATTCAGCAACTTATTCATTGTTTCATGGTATTACTTGCAATCCCTTCACTGTAATGACACTCTTCCCACTTCCTCCCTGAGTTCCCCATTTCCATTTGCCTATCTCTCCTGCCCCTTCCTGCCTTCTGAACTTTGTTTTTGGGCAAATGTTGTCCATTTGGTCTCGGATGGCTAATTGTTCTGAGGAGTGTGTTTCATGTTCCTCATGAGTATTATGTTCACTTTAGGTCTGTCTATTTTTCAGCTGAGAGGTGATCTCTGAAACCCAGGTTTCAAGGGTGTCTGAGGGCCATAGGCTTGGGGGTTCCACTGTAAATCTGGTCATTTTATTATTTGTTTTAAATTTTGCTCTCTGTTTTAGTTCCATTTAGTCCAGGGCCTTCTATTGTGATCCTGATCAGAGTGGTTGGTAATGATAGCCAGGCACCATCTAGTTTTTATGGGCTCAGACTAGTGGAGGCTTGCTATTACATTGGTGGATTCTTGGTCACATTGTTGGAACATCTAGATCCTACTGTGCCTGAAGCTGCTATCCATAGACTTTTTAGCTACATGGTCAATAAAATCCATCATTTGACTAGAACAGTTTGAGTTGGCTTCTGTTACCTGCACCTCAGAGTCCTGGCTCATTTCTTCTAATGACATCTTACATGAATTAAAATCACGCTTCTTTGGTTGAATTTTAGGCAACAGAGATGTGGCAAGTATCTCCACTCACTCAGCCTTTATAGTCCTCTCAAGGAAACTGCTAAGAGGTCTCCTTAAAACCACAGGGATTGGAAGCCCTCTACAAGCTGCTCTCCTTACTCAATTCCATGTATTCTTCTATTTTGTCACATGCCTGGTCAAAAGTCCTCCATGACTGCCCATCACCTTCACCTCTCAGTTTGGTATTCAAGGCTCTCCTCCTTCAGGGCTCACTTTGTTCATCCAGCCATGTCCCCCTACACATACATACACACACTCACACACATCCACACACTCACAGACACTCATACTCACTCGCATTCTTTTACACATGCTCAGTCACTCCATGCTCCAGTCATCTGGACCCTGTCTTCTGAACACAGCATGGTCATTCCAACCTTGGAGGTTTTGCTCAAACCATTTCCTTCATCAGCAACCCCATCCTCTTCCTCACTTCATCTTTCAAGATTCACTCAGACTCTAATGAGTCTCCAGTGACTATTTCAGGTCATAGGTAACCCTCCTTCCTCAGGACTGCACCCAGACTGCACTCTCATTAGGTCCTTCACCCTTACTACTTCTCTCATCTGGCTCAGTTCTCCTTCCAGGAAACGATATTCTCGCTCCAACTGGTCTGTGAGCTTTTAGGGCACTGTTTTTGTTTTTCTCACTCCCTTAGCCATCCATGCAAACTCCAGACTCCAACCCCTCCCCACCACTTCCATTACCACCCTGGTTGAGGCCCCGTCACCACTAGTATGACCAGTAGCATCCTAACGCATCTGCCTGCTTCTACCTTTGCCTCCCAACAGCCAGTCCTCAACACAGCACCAGAGACTCCTGTGTTCAATCTTTTGCATCCCTAGTCAGAACGTGTTACCCCTCTGCTCAAAATCTTCCAATGGCTCCCCAGCTTCCTCCAGAGGAAAAGCCAGAGTAGCACCCCCGTTTACCTCTCTGACCTCATCTTGTATTACTCTTTCTCTTGTTCACTCCACTCCAGTCACATTAGTCAACTTGGTCCTCGCCATTTCCTCGCCATTTCCTCAGGATAGCTGCACAGTTTGCTCCTTGACCTTCTCCAAGTCTTTGCTCAAATATCAACTTTTCAGTGAGGTTTTATTTGGTGATCACCCTATTTTAAACTGCTAATCCAGTATCATTTACTTATCTATTTTGCTCACTGCTAGTCTTCTCCCGAGTAGAATAAAAGCTACATGAGGACAGTGATATTTGTATCTGCTTCATTGACCGATGTATTCTCAGCATCCAGAATAGTGTTTGACACAAAGTGTAAATTAATGAGAATACTTATTGAGTGACTACTGTATGCCTTCCCTTCAAAACAGTAGCATTAGAACCCATAACTGGAGGTGTCCATAATTCCAGGTGCCTTTGCTCCTCCTCCCCAAGAAAAGCTCCCAACATAGGTTGGGGCCAAAAGCAGAGCTCACATTCCCCAGCATGTCTGTAAGGGCAGGGATTCTGATGCTTCCTCTCCTCTCCTCTCCATCGACACATGAGACATGGCCAGGCTGGAATGACTCAGAGCCTGCCCCCACCCATAGGAAGCTTCTGTTCTGCTTTCTGATTCCCAGCTCTATTATCCTAGCCATCTCTTCATTCCAACAGTTACCAAGTCTTGTCAATTTTCAGAGGCCAGACTCCCCCACAACCCCCGCTATGGCCCCACCCTGCAGCTTGGACCACTGCATCAGTGGTCCTGATTATTCTTCAGCCTTCCCATACCCATAAATACACATATAATTCTCACAACAAACTCATGAGGTAGCTAGTGCTATTATTATCCCCATTACATAGGTGGGGAAATTGAGGCACACAGAGGTTATACAACCTGCTTGTCATTGGCAGAGCCAGGTTGGAACCTGTCTGGGGTGTGTGCCCTCTCGTGCAATCTGATAACATCGCTCCTGTCTTTGGAACCTTCAGTGACTTCCACTGCCTGCAGATAAGATGCAATCTCCCTACTTCATGGCTCTTACCTTCTGGCCTCTACCTTCATCCCTACCTCCTGGGTCACTCCTTATCCCTGCTGTTTTCACCTTCTTCTGGATGCCTCAATTACAGCATATTCTTGGCTTTGGGACAAACACAGGCTCTTTCCTCTGCCAGAAGTACTGACCCCCTTCTTTTTCATCCCTCGACCTGGTTAATCCCCTTTCATACAGACGTCTTGTCCCAACTTAGAGGCCACTTTCTCCATGACTGGGTTGGGGACTCTTTTGGTGTTTCCATGACACTCTTCACTTCCCTCACAATCACTTTGGGTGATCAGCGCCTGTCCACTTGTCCATGTGACATAAGTGCCAACATCAAAAAGAGTGTCAGGCATGAGGGAATGAATAAAGGAGTGAACAAAGTCAAATAGTGAGCTACTGGCATCAATTGCAAAGCAGAAAACAATTGGTGCTAGATCAAAACAATGCACTCTGGGAAATCCAAGGAAGGACAAAGGAAGGTTAGTCAGGCCCTAAGGAATCTAATAAGGAGCTCTGGTACCGTAGTGGTTACGAGTCGGGCTGCCAACCTCAAGGTCAGCAGTTCGAAACCACGTGGGAGAAAGATGAGGCGTTCTGCTCCCATAAAGACTTACAGCCTCGGAAACCCTGTGCAGGGTCACTATGAGTCGGAACCAACTCTGCGGTAATTAACAACAACAACAAGGAGTCAAATGGGGGTGTTTTTATTAGTGTCTCCTCCTCATTCCAACTCCCTCTTTCCCAAACTCCTTATGTACTCCCACCCCAAGATCCCTGCCAACTCCTCCCACCACCCTGTTGCTCACCTACCACCCGGAGGACCATGGAGGTGGAGCGGATGCCCTGGGCACTGGTGGTCACACAGGAATAGTTGCCGGCATCTTGGAAGTCTACATGATCGATGATGTGGGTCAGAACTTTTTTATAATAATTACTATCTAAGTCAGTTGTTTGAAAATTTGTCAGCTGCAAGCAAAAGAAATGGAGACAGTTAACCAAAGTTTAGAGATTAGAAAGATATGAGTTTCAGCTTCTATGGATTACTAGATGCTTGTCCTTGGGCAAGGGACTGAATTTGGGCCTCAGTTTCCTCATTTGTAAAATGGGACTAATATTAGTCCTAGAGGTGTGGTGACAATTAAATTAAGTCTTGTCTGTAAATGGTTAGGACTGTGCTTGATACTTAGTAGGCACCTAAGGGAGTGGGAATCATTCTTAGTAATGGCCTAGTGCTGTTCCCAATATACTCCCTTTTCCCCAAAGTCTTCTGGAAAAGCTCTTACATTCCTGAACTTCAAAGGTGGCCTAGGAACTCTTTGCTTAGTCACAAGTGAGCTGACATCTGTTATTGTTGTTAGGGGCCATTGAGTTAGTTCCAACTCATAGAGACTCTCTATGCAACAGAATGAAATGCTGTTAGGTCCTGCACCATCCTCTCACAATTGTTGTTACATTTGAGCTCATTGCTGCTGCCATTGTGTCAATCTATTTCCTTGGGGGTCAAATGAAACCTTTGAAAACTTCAATCTTCTCCATTTATCAAGTTGTTATTTATTGATCCAGTTAGGAGGATTTTTATTTCCTTAACATTGAGGTGCAATAGCAAACACTTCCTCTTCTTCATTGCCCCTCCACTTTACCAAGCCGGATGTCCCACCGGGATTGGTCCTTCCTGACAGCATGTCCAATGTAGGCGAGACAAAGTCTTGCCATTGTCAGTTCAAAGGAGCAATCTGACTGTGCTTCTTGCAAAATGTATTTGTTCAGACTCCCAAGCAAAAAAAGTCCAGGACCAGATGGCTTCACTGGTGAGTTCTACCAAACATTCAGGGAAGAGCTGTCACCAATTCTACTCAAATATTCCAGAAGATAGAAGAGGATGGAAAACTTCCTAATACATTTTATGAAGCAAGCATAATCCCCATACCAAAACCAGGGAAGAACGTCACTAAGAAAGAACATTATAGACCAATATTCCTCATGAACAGAGATGCAAAAATCCTCAACAAAATCCTAGCCAACAGAATCCAGCAGCACATCAAACAATAATACATCATAATCAAGTGGGATCCATATCAGGGATGCAAGGATGATTCAACATTAGAAAAATGATCAATGTTATCATCATATAAATAAGAAAAAAGAAAAGAACCACGTGATCATATCGATGGATGCAGAAAAGGCACTTGACAAAATCCAACATCCATTACTGATAAAAACACTCCACAAAATAGAAATTGAAGGGAAATTCTTCAACATAGTTAAGAGCATATATACAACAACCTACATTACTGTCAATGGAGAGAAACTGAAAGCCTTACCTCTGTAAACAGGAACCAGACAAGGATGCCCTTTGTCACTACTCCTATTCAATATTATGCTAGAAGTCTTAGCAAGAGCTATATGGCAATATAGGGAAATTAAAGGTATCTAAATTGGCAAAGAGGAAGTAAAACTCTCTCTATTTGCAGATGATATGATCCTATATGTGAAAACCCCAGAGACTCAGTAAAAAAGCTACTAGACCTCATTGGAAGATTCAGCAAAGTGGCAGGATATAAGATCAACATACAAAAATCAGTTGGATTTCTCTATACCAAAAATGACAGCACTGAAAAGGACATTAGGAAAGCAATACC